TACAGAAATAAAATAAATTCTGTCTTCTTCTCATAGTAAAAAAATATAAAATACAATACTTTGCAAATACTAGAAGAGAGAATTATAATAAATGATTATAATCATACATGCCTGTGAAAGAATACAAATGCCAGGAACATTTGCTCCGGCCTAATTAACCTAGGATTGGATATGGAATGTATAGGGAAAAAAAGAGCATAGCTACAAAAAGAGCTTTAACAATAGGAAAAAAAGTATGTAAGAGAGATAAAGAGACGTAGTTAGAGGAAAAAAGAACAGGGAAAACATGTGGCATGCAGAAACAGCATAAACTACAGACGGAGAAGATTTTTTGTTAAAAAAAATGAGAAAAAGCAAGGAAAAAATTATAATAGTTCATGGAAGGTAATGGAGGGGGAGTGCAGAAAACTGATTTATGAAGACAGGGTTAAAGAAATAATAAATAGTAACCCAAAATGTGCTTGAACATTAACATGTGATGAAATACTTTTGAATTCAGAGAATATATATGTAAAACTACCTCTCAAAGTGGTTTGAACCGAGCACTTCTGGAGCAATTATAGAACTTGGTCATAAGTCGTTTCTGAGTGCAACTTACTGATATTGAGTTTTTACTGATGGCTGGAAAGAATGTCTGAGGCTGTTGCTGTACTGACGGTTGCTGATTCACTGCATTCTGAGGCAGCTGGATTGACTGGAGGGGATGTTGGTTATTCTTGGGCAGACACTGAAGCTTATCAGTTACATCTAGCGAAGACTGAGATTCTGGCCCAGATACAGCTTCTAATTTTGGTATATGTTCAAGTTTGGGCAGAGATGGTTTCCGTTCTGTTAACTTGGGATATGGCTGTTTCTGATTGATGAATTGTGGAGGGGGTCCTAAAACCTGGCCCACTTGAAAGTAAGGAAACTTCAATGCCTAAGGAAAAAAAAAACAACGCTAATAAGTATAAGGCAGCTAAAAGTATGCAACTAAAGGTCTTGCCAAATAGAGGGTTGAAAAAATATATATAGAAGGTTGTTGTGGCCCGGCAGGTGCCGTTGGAGCTGCTGCCAGACTCCGACAGCGAAGGGTCTTATGAGTCGGCCCTGGAGGAGGTGGAGGACCCTGGACAGGGTGCCGACTCCGAGCAGGGCGAGGAGAGACTGGTTGGCCACACCAGGTGGCGGCAGAGCCTTGGATCAGAGGGAGTGTTCTGGAAAACACTTGTGAGTTGTTTCGGGATTCATGCCATTGAAGGGCTACTCAGCGGCAAGAACAACTGCGTAATTGTAGGAGATGATTACGTTTAGCTGATGCTTATTAAGATCCTCTCCTGAT